GATTGCAGAACTCGAAAGCATCCTCTCCTGCAGTGCCTTTGTCCCTCCTTACACGAACAAGCTCAAGGGCTCTCTTTGCTCCTCCTCTGTCTCCTCTTCAACTCCCTGCTGGCCTCCCCCCACAAGCAAAACCCTATGCTTCTCAGCCTTATTCATAGCCCTTGTCGCCTGCAAGCTGGAATTTAATGTCCCCAGGCTTTTGTTGTGATGAAGAGAATGGAACGGGAATGGAATCGATACAATAACCCTTTTGTTGTCGGGTCCCTGTTGTTCTATTCGCCTCCTTCAATTCTCTGCACGCAAGCAAAAGAATTGAAGATCCATTAATGCGGTTTGGTGGAGTTACTGATCGAGGGATGTAAAGCTACGCATCATATATACAAGTGTAAGTCCGAGGAACGGCAGTAAATGCCTTCTTTGACTCCTCCTGGTTCCCCGTTCCTCCTCTCCGCTCCTGTCTCCCGGCCCTCATGCGGCATCTCTCTATCTGCCTGAGGTGTCTACCGCTGCAAGGGCTAAGCGCGATGAGGAAGATACGGGCTCCGGCTGCCTTGGTTACGTGCTTAATTCTAGTCGTCGCCGGCATCTGTTCGCACGGTTTCGCTGGAGAGGTCGAGGGGAAGCGCCGTCACGCAACGGAAGCCGAGAAGAGGCTGGAAAACGAGTCCGCTGTGGGTGTTGCTACCGTCGCCCTCCATCGGTGCAGATCGAAGAAGACTGAACTCTGTGGCTATCTAGTTCGAGCAAAGCAGAAGGTTGACGACGACAAGAGGGCTGTTCCTACCGGCCCAAATCCCTTACACAATAGATGAGGAGGAAGATGAGGAAGAAGAATAAGTACTCCTCTTCCGCTTGTTTTTCTTCTACGTATAGAGAGGAAACAGTGCTAGTTTCTTCTCTTTCTTTCTTTCGGTAGTTCATTGCACATGAGGGTTTAAAGCTCAAAAACCTTGTGCTTCATGATGTTTCAACTGTTGTGATGAAGGTTTACTCTCATGAAGTTCTTGGAGATTATTAATGATGTTTGTCTAGGAAGACAGTCAGTGGACTCATAATGATGGCTGATACAATCCACTTTCACTAAAGAAGAAAATTAATGGTTAATACCACTTATGATCTATAGTTTCTCTCCTACCTTTGAACTTATTACGCATGTTGAAGCTAAAGATGGCTTCTGATTTAACATTAGGGGTTTGTGTTTATCTTCTTCTTTCCCTCTCGTGAGAGGACTGCAATTTGCTTGAGGTGGAGGAAAAGCTGCTAACTTAAGAGAGAGAGAGAGAGAGAGAGAGGCTTTGGTATCAGTGCAAAGGGCGTGAGAAGGTGGAGGAGAAGCTGTTTATATGGGACATGACTTGTAGAATTGTTGGCAGGGACGAGAAACGGGAGAGGAGCAAATGATTCCACCGTCATTGTGTGATTGACTTCCATGTTCATATATAGGCAATATAATTAAATAGTTCGCTGCGAGCCACGTCGTCTTCTTCTTCTTCGAGTGGTCGCTTTGCGTTGCACTCCTCTGCAGGCAAGGCAGGGAGGGTCATTCGCGACGGAAGCGGTGACTGGAATCGTGCGCGATTTCAGCAACACTCTATGGTATGCAATATAATTAAACTAATAAAATATTTAATTGTATTTTATATTTTTATAAAGAATAAACACTGAAGGAATTAAAATTTTATAATATTTTAAAAAATATATTATGGATTTATAAGTAAATACACACATAGTATACATTGAATGTGTAAAGTAAAAAGATTTATACTTATGTATTACTACTTATACTCCATGCAATTTAGTATACAAAAAATAGGAGATATACATACTATATATTATTATAATAGACTACCCGACAGGTGGCAACATCTATCCCCCTCGAACTCCAATCATAATCATTATTGAATGGGATCTTATTTGACCAATATAATTCAAGGAATTAAAGAGAAAAAATCATAATCCTCAACTTATAATTCAAGGAATTAAAGAGAAAAATACTTACAGGATGATATAAAGTAAGCACACTAAGAATAATATCACTATCGAAATATAGTTTGGGTAAAGGCAATCAAAGAATGTTCTCTAGAAAGAACAAAAGTATGATGGTGATGAGAAATCATTCTCTACTCATCTGGCCATCATCGTCGGGAGAAACCGCCTCCTTTAGTGGCCGCCGCCGCCGCAGCAGCAACTCGTCCACCACCTTCTGCATCGCTGCATCAGCGCCCGTGCCATCTCCATCGCAACCCATGAACAGCTCCGCGATCTCTGCAGGTGTCATGTTGACCTCCTTCAGCAGTGCCTCCACGTCCGCCATCAGCTCGTGCTCCTCCCCCACCTCTAGATAGTTCCGTGCTAGCACTCGGAATGCTTCCGGCTGGCAATAGGAAAGGTGGATTTGTCGGTCCATCCGGCCCGGTCGGAGCAGGGCAGGGTCGAGCCGCTCCGGGTGGTTGGTGGTGAAGATCATGAGCCGCTCTCCCACGGATGACGACCATAGGCCGTCCACGAAGTTCAGCACACCGGAGAGGCTTATCGCCTCTTTCGCAGTACTGAATTCTTTCTTCTCCTTCCGGTCGCTGAGGTCGAGGGCGCAATCGATGTCCTCGATGACAATGATAGACCTGGGGGTGGTGGATGCTAGGAGGCTACGGAGTTGGGATTGGAGCTGACGGCAGTGAGCTCGAGGTCGAAGATGTCAAACTCGAGGAAGTTGGCAATGGCGGCCACAAGGCTAGTCTTGCCCGTCCCCGGCGGGCCATAGAGGAGGTAACCTCGCTTCCAAGATCGCCCGACACGAGCGTAGTAGTCTGCGCGACCGACGAAGCGGAGGAGGTCGCTGCGAATGTCATCACGGAGGGTCGGGTGGATGGCGAGGGTGTCCAAGTTGGAAGGGTGGGCGAAGGGCACGTAGGACCAGAGGTTGCAGTAGTTGGTTCCGAACTTGGCACTGTTAGTATAGAGGCGACGCTCGCGGGTCCTCAGGCGGATGGTCTTCACCTCCTTGAGGATATGGGGGATGTAGAAGGAGTCGACAACATGGCGATCCTGCTTAGGGAAAGATAGCTCGAGGAAGCATTCTTCATGTTCGCCGGAGCCTACGATTTTGGAGGTCCACTCGAGGGTGACGCCGCGGAATGTGTCATGGGTGGTGTGGCAGGTGGGGAGGAAGGCAGCGGGGTGGGAGGAGTCGCGACGCATGGAGAGGTGGAAGGTAGGGGCGTCGGCGATGCAGTGGTGACCGAGGTAGGTTTGGGCTGCACTGTAGAGCTCGTTGGACATGTCATCCTCGAACTTGTAGATGAGGATCGTGATGGTGTTCTGAGGCTTAGCTCGGATCAGGAGGCGATCGAGGAGGGAGTAGAGATAGCGGCGGAGCACATCAGGAAGGAAAGTGTCGATCGCCGTCCGTAGGAATAACACCGTTGCAAAGAGCGACGTCAGGGAACTCCAATCCCATGCCATCTCTCCGTGTCTATATTGTGTGCTTTATCGAGTGTCTATTTATCGTATCGACGTGACTATTAGAATTTGATTAGGACTGACCCAATAACGTTGCTATCCTGTCGAACATATCAATTGCACGGACGCCATTTTTATAGCATTCAATGCTTTCAATATATATATATATATAGTTTTATTTTGGACAGATATTATTTTTGTAATGATATTATGTTTGTCAATTGAAAAAGAGGCTCTGTTTTTATAATTGTATGAAAAGATGGAATGGCTATAAATATTATATTTCCTTGCAGAGAATTGTGTTCTAATCTTAATGGGCTAAAAATTCCTTAGATCTTTGAAAATAGGGTTTGAGGTATGTTTGTCTGACGAAAGCTTATTGTAGTTTATTTACTGATATCTTTGCCTGTGGTAAAGAGTGACAACTCTTAAGGAATTTAATTCATACATGGGTGCAAATATATTTTTGCTAAAAAAAAGTAGCTTCAATTGTAAAGGGAAGGTCTTGAATTTAATTCATACATGGTAAACAAAAAAGATTTTTTTTTTCTTTTTTTCCTTTTACAACATAAGTTGCTAAAGAGGAGCCCACCCATTTACGCGACAGATTAGATTCTCATATTTAATTTCTATTTTTGTAAATCTAATTTATCATTCGAGAATGAGATTAGATTATACTTCACGATGATGTGAAGTCACTACTAAGATATGTCTCACATGCGTTATATTAAAGATTGATTTTAAGCTATGTTATGCTGATAAGAACGTCAATATAGATAGTGAAGATTATAACACTTCAAGTTATTCTCGTATTTATGATCTTAATTAAACTTATAAGAGTTTGATATGTTTATTATTAAATATTTAATTTTAAATATTTTTAACTTATGATTTAAACTTAATTATCTCATTAGATTCAGTATACAAAATTTATTTTAACATCAACCAACATCCTTCTCTAGCATTCTAATTATTGTTTTTTATTGCTTTAAAATGGGAACCATGTTGTTCTTTGTCTTTTTATTCTAGCACTATATATATATATATATATATATATATATATATATATATATATATATATATATATATATAGCTTAGGATTTGAAAAAGGCAATTAAAATATCTTTACTAAATTAATGAAAAGAAAAAATGGTATCAAAACGGTTCCCATTCATAGATGACAGGATGATGAGAAACCTTTTCCTCTACTCTCATCTCCTGCACCCAAAGCAGAGGTATCGCCATCGTCAAAGGACGCCGCCTCTTGCAGTCGCTGCTGCCTCTGCCGCAACTCGCCCACCACCTTCTGCATTGCGGTGTCCGCGCCTGCGTCATCTCCGTCGCACCCCAGGAACACCTCGGCAATCTCCGCGGGTGTCATATTGACCTCCCCTAGCAGTGCTTCTGCCTCCGCCATCAGCTCGTGCTCCTCCACCTCCAGGTAGTTCCGTGCTAGCACTCGGAATGCTGCCGGGCAACAATAGGATAAGTGGATGTGTCGGTCCATCCGGCCCGGTCGGAGGAGGGCCGGGTCAAGCCGCTCAGGATGATTGGTGGTAAAGATCATGAGTCGCTCCCCTTCGGACGACGTCCATAGGCCCATCCACGAAGTCTAGCACACAGGAGAGGTTTGTCGTCTCCTCCGCACCATCATGTTGTGTCTCTTCCTTTCGGTCGCTGAGGTCGAGGGAGCAATCGATGTCCTCGACGACGATGACAGACCGGGGGGTGGTGGATTCTAGGAGACGACGGAGTTCGAAACTGGAGTCGACAGCAGTAAGCTCGATGTCGAAAACGTCAAACTCGAGGAAGTTGGCGATGGCGGCCACAAGGCTTGTCTTGCCCGTCCCTGGCGGGCCATAGAGGAGGTAGCTTCGCTTCCAAGGTCGCCCGACACGAGCGTAGTAGTCCTGGCGACCGACGAAGCCGAGGAGGTCGGCGCGGATGTCATCACGGAGGGTTGGGTCGATGGCGAGGGTGTCCAAGTTGGAAGGGTGGGCGAAGGACATAGAGGACCAGAAGCCGCCATCATCGTTTTCGAGGGCATTAGTGTAGAGGCGGCGCTCGCGGGTCATGAGAAGGATGCGATCCGACTCCTCGAGGATGTGGGGGATGTAGAAGGAGCTAACAACATCGCGATGCTGTCGAGGGAAAGAAAGCTTGAGGTGGCGTTGTCTGTTCGAGGACTTCGTAGGGGAGCGTCCGATGTCGGAGCTCCATCGGAGGGGGATGCCGCGGAATGTGTCGTTGGTGGTGTGGTAGTCAGGGAGAAAGGCGGTGGGGCGTGAGGAGCAACTACCCATGAAGAGGCAAACGGCGGCGGCATCAGCGACGCAGTGGTGGCCGAGGTAGATCTGGGCAGCATAGTAGAGATCGTCGACAGTGCTGCCGTCATACTTATGGATGATGATGGTGGTTTCAGGGTCGAGTCTCGTCAGGAGGCGACGGAAGAGGGAGCGGACGCAGCGGCGGAGCTCCTCAGGGAAGAAATCTCGGATCGCTGTCCTTAGGAATAACAGCGTCCCAAGCAGCGAACTTATGGAACTCCAATCCCATGCCATTTCTCTGTACGTCCATCCGGTGACATTTATATTTTATAGATGAGACAAATTATAATTCGATTAGGACTTGCGGTGCATATTATTATCGATTAGGACACATCAGATTTTTTGATGCCTACCAATGTAATGTCTCGTGCGTAGTTGCATCATATGTATGTAACTTTGCTCCAATATCATAATCATATGGTTCAAATATCTTTTGGCTTTCTGTTTTAGGACGAATGCATTGTATATGCAAAGTAAAATGAAGATAGGATTTATCTTTTTTTCTCAAAAAATTAAATTTAAATGTCAATAGGGCTAAAAAGACCTCTTTTCCTAAAAAGAGGCATGAATTTAGCGACTTTAGTGATTGATTTGATCATGCCCATAGTGCTTGACTAGGGTAATCTTAGTTTAGTTTGGGATTAGTTTAGGTAATCTGCTTGAAAAAAATATATTTTATATTATGATTATTAATACTTAGATTAACTTAGCGGTAAAGTCAATCCATTCGAATTGATGTAATGATGTGAAAGATATTAATATTGGACATAGCGTGTGTTGAAGGTATGATCAGAGGGAACGATAGATTTAAGTTAAAGAAAAAAATAAAGTCAAAATTAAGATGTGAAATTAATTGGTCAAAACTGAAAATGTTGCGAAACAAAAATATAGGATCCAAAAAAGAAAAAAAAATGGTGGAAACCCCTAAGAAGATTTTGGTTACAATTTTAATTTGGCTTGACTATACCTAGAGTGCAATAGAAAGCACTAATCTGTGGTTAGGAAGGTTAGCTAATGTTCTAAATCTGCCAATTTGACCATCAGAGATGGAAATTCCATTTGACCTTTTTGAATTGTGGAAGGCAGTCGATCACATACATCAATTTGGATCCTGTGGAGACTGGAAACGCTTGTGGCCGGTCGTCCAAACGAGCTGAGACCGAGAGCTTGCTTGGTATCCAAGATATATATCACTGAGCTGAGAGCATCCACCATGTGTACAGCCTATGCCACATACATGCATTCCAGCTTATATATGTGGTCAAACAATAACATCAACAAAATGGTTAGTCTCTTTGGGCAAGAGTGTAATCTAGAACAGTATCATATTTAAAACTGGAATGCATGTATGTGGCATAGGCTGTACACATGGTGGATGCTATCATATTTAAAACTTATTCACGTGGATGGTAGATCACCTTGAACTGTTTGTCGTGAACTATTCAGAACTTACGAAATCTATGAATTTGTATTGTCGATGTAAACGTATAATACGATTTAGACAAAACCAACTAAGTCCGTGACAATATGTTCATACAATCTTAAATGATTTTCTCTCGTTTTATCCAATATCAAAGCGATAATTATTCACGAATACAAATATTTTTTTTTTCCTTCTGACTACTGTATCCGGCTCATATTATCAATTTTTTCTTCCCATAAATACAATATTTAGTTGTTTATAAATAAAAATATATTTTTTTCATCCTTTCTAGTAACTTCACATATCCAACTCAACATAAATATAAATATATATAAATTATTTTTTATATTTTTTTTAAATTTTAAATGTGTTGAAATGATCAAACAACTCTTGATGCCTGTCATCATTTTAATCATTCTATTCTAACTCTGAATAATATCTTCATCTTAAATAATTAATCTTATATATATATTGGTCTATCCAATTTGATCTAACCATGTGATCATCATCCTCTCCAAGCCATTATATTAACACCCTATCACATACACTGGCTTGGGTCTCGTTTGCACCCACTCTGCCTCCTGGGGCTGATGCCTGCCATCGTTGATCGATCCCTGTGCAGTAATCATCTGTAGAAACATGGCGGAGTAGATATGGCAAACAGTGCAAGGAAACAACAGCAGCTTGTGGAATCACTGACCCATGTACAGTAATCTTCAGAAGCAACACTAGAGAGAATGAGGAACATAGTTCAGATTACTGGACATCTTTCCCCCTTCATTTGACACCAGAATAAGTTCCATCCACAACATTGAGGAATCTCTTCCTCCTTGTAGAACTCAATCTTCAACTTGTTCATACAATCATTAACGAGGTGAAAATCCCATGAGCAATTCATAGGTTTTAGTTTCACGAAGGAGAGATTGCAAAGCCATGACACAGATCTTACAATCCTAATGACTCACCTCACAAAATTGTCACAACACAGACAATGATAGGCTATAATCCAATTGGAAACAAGAATCCATGAGAAGAACACTGTTTAGTATTTATGTATGCAGAAAGATGTGGAGGACAATTTCCTCTGTTACATGAATACATCAACCTATTCTAACCCATGCATGGAGAAGATGGGAAAAGAAGGCAAGAAATTACAGGAGGCCATGAAGAAGCAACAGATCAAACTACACGAATTCTCTTCTTGGGAGGGAGAGAAAGGAAGACCGAGGTAAGATCGCGAGGCACGGCGCAGAATTCCCTCGAGGGAGCCACCGGCGCCCTCCTTGCCGGCTTCGGCTTCTTCGGAGCCGGCGGGCACACGAGGAGGGGCTTAAGAACGTGCTCCTCCGACTTGGGCGTGACACAATCATCGTCGTCGGTGCTGGTGACCTCGGGGCGGCGGCCTTCGGCCGGCTTGTCCCGGATCGGCGTTGTCTTGATGGGTGGAACCAGAGGCAATTCACCCATCACGACCACCTCGGCGCCCATGGGCACTGAAGACGAAGATGTTGCAGAGACCGCGAGAGAGACAGACGGGTAGCTTGGGAAAGGGCGGAGGTGAAGAAGAAGAAGAAGAAGAAGAGGAACAAATTTGGAGGGAGAGGGAAGACCGAGGAGTTATATAGTCACAGAAGAAGAAGGCGAAGGGGTAGAGAGGCATCCGATTGCGTGCGAATAAGAAACGCAAGGGTACATCCGTCATTCGACATGGGGAAGATGCATTCAAGTGCACTAATTGCAGCATTCAATTACACGAAGCGATTCGATATAGTAATGACGATTTAGAGCGGCCCTGAAGGATTTAATGGTGCCGAACAACCTAAAAGCCCTTCAATTTAAGCAAAACCACACGAGTGCCACTCCCCCCCCCCGGTGGAACGTTTCAACGGCTCCGCGTTCCACATCGCCCGGCAGGCAAAAGCTGCTCCACCCACGTGGCGTTTGGTGGCTGGCTGGGGTTTGAGCTTCCTGCGTCAAGACTAATCGACGCCCTTTTCTTTAACGAATCTAAAGGTGGAGGGGGTGATGCCATGTTCATCATGTGGAAGCCATGTGATGATGAGAGTGGACCGATCCCGATCACCATGACGCTATCAAAGCATCCGATGCGATGATGAAATATGATAGACTGGTGGCATGTTCGTGGCCTAATTTGCGGAATGATGAGGTGGAACAAGTCAGGCAGTAGCTGGACCAACTCGTTCATCCAACCTTCCAAGCATGCCACATTCTTGGACATTCATTCATGTAACTAAAAAGCTGTGCTACAATGGAGACATGGGGAAATCCATGGAAGCTCATCGTCAAGTTTGGTAGAACCAGCCACGAACAGTTTGCCCGTGTACTTGCTAACCAGCGGTCTATATTGTTAGCTGTTAATTGGAATCTGAGAGAACTGAGGCATGGCTTGTGTGTTCGAGACAAAGAAAAAAAGATGGGCAAAGAGCTGGAGACAGCCAAAGCCATTTGAGTAAAAAGGAGGGGTTGATGCGAGCACAGGAATGATTGGAGCACGCTGCAAGTTCCTGAGAGCAGCCTTGTGGTGGTGTTGAGGGTTGTTCAAATCTGTGCTGGACAAGAAAGAGGCAAAGCAGATCTTTTGGAGTTTCTTTCACTTCATTGCCATGTGAAAACTCTCACCAAAGGAAACCAACAACTCGAGGATATCTCACGGTATGAGAGTGTGTTGAGGAAAGCGGCTCAGGCCATGTCCACCCACCTCTCTCTCTCTCTC